GACCATTACGAATACACAAATGTCAAAATATCACGTATCGCTGCATCAGCAACAGCGATTTTCAAAATCGAAATTCGTTTGTGTACTTTATCGCATCAAATTAATCATGACGATTCCTTTTTGTTCGTCGTTCTATTTTCCAATGAAACAACATTTACCAACATAGGCCACGTTAATGGACACAATTTACATTACTGGTCCCCTGAAAATACTCACTGCATTCGAACAGTAGCCTTTCAGTTATTAATAATCTTTAAACGTTCAATGTGTTTGCGTTGTCGTTGATAACGCAATCATTGGACCAAACTTATTTGATGGTTGATAATTCTACGGTTAGGTGACTTTTTTCAATTTCGATTATAAGTCTATAGTTTATTGCAAATCTTTTTACTAAAATGTATATATCGATACAAGATAATATGATTTTGACACACTCTGGCCAAAACAAATGTTCGCCTCTAAATAGGAAATTTAATAAATAGGTAGGTTGGACGTGGCGGGTCTCCTCGTTCATTTGACCTAATGCCTCTAAATGTCTTTCTTTGGGGATTTATTAAAGATAAAGTTATGATTAATATCTCAACAACGGTAGAAAATACGAGGGGAAGAATATAATTGCAGGAACACAGACATCTGTTCCAAATGATATTAAAAAAAGAAATTGAAAAATATTTTGAACACTCAATAAAAAGACTGTTACGAGGAAAAAGGAGCATTTAGTACTATAAAACATCCAGATTTTTCTTGCCAAAGAAAATAAAATACCTATCTAAATAAACTCCTCAACAAGAGAGTGTGAAGACAAAAGCTGTTTTCAGTTGCTGGTTTTTTATTATTCAAATAATTGACGAAAACGTCAACGTCTATATTTGATAGTTTACGTTCTTGGTCTTCGACCAGGTATTTTTAATTTCGAATCAACTTCCAACGCTTTTATGTCGTTCACATAATTTGTGTTCCAGCGTCTCATCTGTCAATCACTCGACTAGGAAGTACACTCCCAGCCAAAAGTTTAATTTCTCACTGACACACGTACAATTTTGGGTTTGTAACACATAATATAGTAAGCTTACGAGCTCAGAACATGCGGATCGCTGCAAAGATGTCGCGGCATCACGGCGTTTTGTTTACAAAACAGAAACAGTGTTGTATACGAAGGACAAAATGATAGCACACTTATAAAGCAATAAACATTTATTTAATTTATTATCAATCTATATAATTATTCATTAATTGTTTAATAATGAGTACATCCTCCTTTATTTTCTATGATTTCAATCATTCTATTTGGTAACGACTTATATAATTTTTGAATATTTTCTTGATTTAAATTGCTCCATTCCGCGACAATAGCTTCTTTTAGTTCGTAGACATTCTCGTATTGTTTCCCATGTTTGTAAACTGCTTGACTGAGTTGACTCCAATAATTTTCGATAATATTAATATCCGGTGAGCGCGCAGGCCATGATAAAACACGTATCCTTTCTTTTTCAAAATAGGTTTTTACAAGTTTTGCAGTATGTACCGCTGCATTATCCTGCTGATAAATGAATCCAGACCCAGATATACGTAGGGCATGCTTTGTTATTTGTTGCTTTATCAAATCCAAATAATATTTACTGTTCATTTTTCCATGAATAAATTTTATTTCCGTCTTACCGAAGTAACCGATGGCCGCCCACACCATTACTCCACCACGGCCCATTGCTCGCCGAATTTTTGACAATTTTTCTTTTCTTAGATCGTGGAAATAATAATTTAAACCATCAGGTCCATCTAAATTAATTTTTTTTTCGTCGGAAAATATCACTTTTCGCCACTTCTTCTTCCAGTGTATTCGATCTTTGGCAAATTGTAAACGTTCTTGTTTGTGCCGTGGAGTTAATGCAGGTTTCTTTTTTATTGTTAGTCTTTTAATGTGCTTGCATGATTGTAATACACGACGAACACTTGAAACACTTGCATTGACGCCAGCCTTTTGCATGATTTGTTTTGTTGTACACTAGCTATTGGAAGTTATACGCAAAACAGTTCGTTTATCCCGTTGTGACAACGATGATGGCCTTCCACTACTCTTCTTTTTACCATAATTTTCCACGTTTTTAAGTAAATTATAAATTACCTTTCGACTTCTGCTAGTTATTTTCGAAATTTTAGATACTGATAAATTTTGCCTTTTCAGTTCAAGAATATGCTTTATTTCTGATGTCGTTAATTTTTTCCCCCGTCTCATTCTTGTAAATTACTAGGCAATACTTTCGCGTCTTGAATACCTAAGAGACCGCGAAATACTAAGCAGTTTATAAACATGTAGACGGAGTGTGCTATCATTTCGTTCCTAGAATACAACACTGTTTCTGTTTTGTAAACAAAACGCCGTGATGCCGCGACCTCTTTGCAACGATCCGCATGTTCTGAGCTCGTAAGCTTACTATATTATACGTTACAAACCCAAAATTGTACGTGTGTCAGTGAGAAATTAAAGATAGCACACATGTGCTATCTTTATGGCTAGGAGTGTATGTATTATCGTCGAAATCCAAGCCTAATGGACGGACGCGCGTTCGATTATTTTATATTTTTAACGAGCCAAACGGGTCTCCGCGATTTATAGATTCATAGATGCGAAGAAGGACCCGCGGATAACAATTTTCTTGGCGCGCTTTGCTCGCGCAAAATATCACCTTTCGGAGATATCAATCTTAAGGACGAATATTCCATGGGAGTTAAGGGGATCGAGATAACGAGAGTGTAACGGGATCCTCTCAATTTTCCATAACAAGCGCCCGAACAAACTATGTTTTTTCCTTTTCTTTATGGAGAACGCAGAGAAAAAACTACCGAGAAGATTCGTTTTTAAAAAGAAACGCGTTATTCAACGTGCAGCGGTTGCACAATGTTACCGTACCCCGCATTATATTAGTACTCTCCCGTCCTGCACCGTTCGAAAAATGATATTCGTATAATACTTCTGATTACTGCGATAATGATTCATACAAAAGTAGGTAATTGCCTCTTTGATTGTTTAAAAAAAAAAAAATGAAATTGAAATTTATTCTGTGAATGAATCTCAAAGTACTTTAAACGAACAAAGTTAGTATGTATTTCGAGTGGATTTTCTACGTTAACTTTGCACAAGCGAACGCAAGAGATTAGCTTTTGAAAATATGAAGTTCTGTGGGAACGCCAGTCGCAATTCGTGAATGAATTATTTAGCGAAGAAGAGAGAGGCATTCGTTGTGACAAATAGAAAAAGCAGTACAAAAATGTCACTCCACAGTTTAATATATAGGGTGTATACAGAAGAAAGAAAAATTTATCGAGACCACATTTCCGAAATTTCAAGTTCATCAATATTTTTTCAAATGGAATAAACAAAAAAAAGGGAAATACAACGATATGTGATATTGTACAGGGTGTTCGGCTACCCCTGGGAAAAATTTTAATGGGAGATTCTAGGGGCCAAAATAAGACGAAAATCAAGAATACCAATTTATTGATGGAGGCTTTGTTAAATAGTTACTAATGTTTAAAGTTCTGTCCGTACTGAATTTTTTTCTCGAAAATGCGCAATATTTCGGGGGTATGTCTATGCACCAAAAATGATTGTAATTGACCCCCGCAACCGAAAATAATTTTTCCAGAACAATTTGAAATTTTTGAATTTAATTTTTAATAACTTTTTAGCGAAGCCTCCATCAACAAATTGGTATTCTTGATTTAAGTCTTATTTTGGCCTCTAGAATCCCCCATTAAAATTTTTCCCTGGGGTGGGCGAACACCCTGTGTATAAATTTCAATCGCTCTAAGAGCAGTTCTTTATTTAATATTTTCAATATTTAACCGTTTTATTATAGATATAATTTACACTAATAAACTTATTCACGTTTGAAGACAGCGTAACTGTACCGTGATAGTTTGTAATATGGACCTTTCCAAAATATATCTCAGTATTGTAACTTTGTTGAAAACAATGCTTGACTTCTTGATTTTGTCAGGTTTTTGTCGACCATTTATTAAAATTGTTGAGGATCTATCGTTATGAAAGATTGAACTCAACCGCTTACATGCAGAAGAAAAAATGGTTTATTGAAAAGTATAATAATGGATATTACAAGACACGGAGGCGAAAAACTAAGTAAAAGACTTTCTCCGCGGTCAGGGTTGTCGCACAACTAACTCCAAACGGAGAAAAAGCCCGGCTTTATAGGCGTCGCCAAATGATCGGCAGACCTATGGGTTTTCTGACCCGACCTGGGTCGACGTCGAGCAGAGAAAAATCGCAATGCTAGACATTGAAAATATATCTATTCTCAACAAAAATATAAAAGAACATTAATGGGACAGGCTCGCTAATAGGGACAGCTAGTATGCCCACGAAAGTCCTCTTTTGTAAGCTGTTGAAGATGCAATTCGTACAATTTATGAGGACCTTACCTTGGACAAACTTTTAAAAAGATAAGAAGGTGGATTTGCACAAACTCTAAGGGAAGCTTGACTCCCATTACGTAGTCACTACCTTCAAAACGACGATCCACGGACAAAATATATTCGATGTTCCCGCGTGTACAGCTACTAGCACATTTAACGACAACCACGACAATATTTTATTGAAGATGCATTTCTCGAGATTGGATTTTTTTACACGATCGTTACGAAGCCATCAAGAGTACCCGTTCGATTTTCTTTGAATTTCGTGAAGATATTCTACTTAAAATTGTCTTCGATACAATGTTTGATTTCTTTGATGTTTCAAAGTTGATTTTTATTGGTAAAATAGCGAGCACAATAAGCAATTTAAATACAAAAAATTATATTTGAAAGGGACAATGTCTTTCTTCGCGAAAGCGAAGCTCGTAACTTCGACCCTTTGAGTGCTACGAACGCCACGTATGCGTCCTACATGCAAGACGATTGTCAGTATTTTAAAAATAATTTTTACTATTTACGACCACTTTGGCCAGGAACATTCAGCACTCAGAGGGTTAAAAAGGTGGACACATAAAACGATGGTTAAACAAGTTTGCTTTAACGATGCTTTAATAATAGTACAATCGATAGTATCGGCGTACACGACGTTATGGGTATTTTCCACGGTCCGACTTGCGTAGCCAGGCACGGGACCACGACCAGAGAGTAGAAATCGTAGATCAAAGATCGAGATCGGCACCGGTGGTGGCTTTATTTTTTACGGTGGATCTCGACCGGGACGCTGAGAAACGAATCTTATCCGCTGGCGGATCGAGATTCGATGATTCGTCGTCGTTTATTACGCGTCGTCCGACTTCAGCTTTTCAGTCTGAGCGGAAGCAGTGTCGTGATGCGGTTCCGGTTCGCGAATGCCCATCCACTTGCAACGCTTTTGCAACTCTTGTCGATACCTAAGCGACAGGAAAGGAAGATGATCGTTGATAGTCGCGTCAACCCGTATCGCCAGAACTAGACGAGTAGTTTCGTTTTGGTGTACCTTGGATGATTGATCGCGTAAATCCACGGATCGATGCACGAGACCGTTTTCGCGAACACGGCAGGTAACATCGTAGATATAGGTGTTAGCATTTCCCTGCAACCAAAGTGTCCACGGTTATCGTCGTGAACGATCGTCTTTCGACGCTTTGACGTATAATACTCTACTGTTTCAAGAATCGTTGTCTCCGATCGACTCGATGGAGTAAGTGAAACAGAGAAAAATATTCAACGTTCGTTCGTACTACGGGTTCTAGAATCGTTCAGGAGCCAAAGTGTGTAGTTTGTTTGAAAAAATTATACGATTTTCGTATTATTTACGCCTCTTGACGCGTTTTAATTACCGATTTCCGAACGCTCCCATTATGGCGACGGTCGCGTACGGTGTCCAGGCAAGCAAGAACAGGAAGAAGATCGTGAACGCCACTTTGGCGATCCTAAGTTCGACGCTTCTCTCCTTGTCCTGATTCGAGACCAGCGATTTCACGTTCATCTTCTTAGCCTAGACTCCGGTAAACCCGCGTTAGAATCGAACGATCGTTACTTACGCGAAGAGAAATTGTTAAAAGGAGTCGTACGAATGGAAATTTGTACCTGTTCGCGCAGCATTTTCTCGTGATTGCGAATAGACTTGAGCAGCTGCGAGTAAAAGTAAATGATGAAGGTTAGAGGTATCACGTAGGACCAAAGAAAAATGCTCATAACAAAGACTTTGGTGTCTTCATCCTCCGTGAGGAAGTCGAACGAGCATGTGGTTAGGAAGCCCTCTAAAAAGCAATGGGTAACGCGGATCAAAATTGGGGATGCGGACGTTTCTCGTTAAAGCGTTTCGTTACCGGTTGTGAATCGACCCCAGATTTTCAACAGCGGCAGAACGGAGAACGGCGACACCCAGAACCACGTGAAAGCGACGATCACCGCCGCCTGTTTCGAGTTGAGCCGTCCGTCGATCGGGCAGGAAATGGTCCTACGGAAACGAACCAAGCTCGAATCAATTCTCGAGAACGGGGGAGAGCGATCGATGGGGGTAAAACAAGATTAGACGGCGCTCGTCGAGACCTGTATCGATCGAAGGCGATGGCTGCGTTGGTAATCGACTGTCCCATACCGGAAATAGAGCCGAGGATCGCGTAGACGTCGCAACCCAGTTCCCAACCGATCATCCGTTCCATGAAGCAGTTTATCACAAACATGGGCATCTCCATGCACATTATCAAATCGAACACCGCCAGGCTAACTATGAACATGTTCGAAGGTGTCCTCAACGACTTTGATCTGAAAGCACACGTTCCAATGAGTTTCGTTTGAAGGGGAGAATTCAGGGGTAGGTTAACCGGTGGTCGGTACACCACCCTCGCGTTCGTGCGGGAAATCTACCACCCGGAAGAAACGATGTCGGCCATTGTCGAGGGATGGCGCCACCACCGTCGATCTTCACATCTATCAAGCTGTTTAAGTTTTAAATATTTATTAAGTGCCATAATTAACTAGTTTTAAGACTGTATACAACTTAGTAGCAAGACTTTTGGGGCTTACTTGTGTATAGGACTCGTTTTTCGCAACTAGTGCAAGCTCAACTTAAACACAAACTTAAAAAGTACAATACTGTATCTCGTTTAAGGCTTGTAATATTATTTTTGCAACCGAATCTAAGGGCTCAACTGGAGCCTAAGATCTTTATTCGATAAATACGAATTTATTAAAGATTTATAGGGATGCATAGTGCAATGTAAATAAGATATAAGCCATAGATTAAGGAAATGAAGGCATACAAAATTTTATAATATTCACGCGATGCATAAACTTACGTGCTAAATATCCATATGACGCAACCGTTTCCCACGAGAGACATTACGATCAGCATAGAGTAGATGAGTGCGAGTCCAATATGCCAATATTTTCCTGGCGCGAGGTACCCTCTCCAGTGGGGGTGTACGAGGTCCGAATGATCCGGGGGCACGTTCCATCCCAAGAATCTTTCCCGCATCGACGGGACATGTCTGAATGGCGAGCAAACAAGCAAAGTTTAGTTTCCGGCTCGTGGACGGAAAGGAATTCGAACATCGTGAGGGAGCAAACGCGCCAGGATCTTCTTTCGAAGAATCCTTTCGACGAGCGTTCGCTAAACGTTTTCCCATTGAAGTACTGTTCTTCCGCGAAAAGTTGGCTAGCGAAAGGACCGCGGGTCTGATTGGTGCCCAGTGTTGTCGCTATTGGGCGAGACGACAATGGGCGGAGCACTAGCCAACTTCTCGCGTACGCATAGTAGGTGAGTCAGGACGTAAACTGTGGCTTCTTCTCGCGGAATAATAATACGATAGATGGAGAGATTAAACACACCCGGTCTCCTCGCCCATGAAAGCCAGTGGACCGTTGATGAGAGTCTGGTTGTGCAACAGCATCCCGGAACGATTCGAAGAACTCTGGTTTACGCTCGAGGCCGCTTTAGAAATTAATCGATGGACGGCGTCGAGTCGAATCGCGTCAGCTCGACCGTTTAAATATCGATCGTCGGATATGGCCGAGCGTAAATATGGTTCTTCCTTTACGATTCGACCGAGCGACACACGTGAAAGGGGTCGCGGATTGCGATCGATTACCGTCAGGAAGAAAGGAGAAAAAAAATTGTTCCGATAACTCGCGTCGGAAAGGATCGGAGGCGCGATGCAGACGGTTTTGAAGTGAGACGCGGTGCAGAGGTCGTGAATACGTTCCGCAACTCACTTGACTCGCTCTATCGCGATCCTTTCCTTTTATACGCAACGACGGATCGCGATCAGGAATGGCGTGCCGGTTGAGAGTTTAATTCGATTTGCGATTCACAAATACGAGAAACCTTTTGTTCGGCTGAGTCTAGGCGGTCACGCGAACCGATCTTGCCCCATGTTTTCACCCTCCCTCGCGACGCGGATGCCCTTTCGCGACGACTCTTAATCTCCCGTCGAGGCTACCTTCCCGACAATCAGCCAACCCTCGAGCATTTCCAAAAACAGAGATGGAAAAAAGACGTTCGACTCTCGGTGCTTCGCGATTTGAAGGTGCACGTACGAGTGTTTACAGAATACAAATTGGGGTTGTTATTGTGATTTTAGTATGAATTCTGAATCGTGTTGTGACGTGGACACATGAGGACTTTGTTAATCGCCTCAAAATGGTCAACAAACACGAATCATAATCATCAGGTGCACGTGACCCACTTTACCGTTGACGTTGACCAATTTGGTCAAAATCAACATTAAGTAAAATAATTCAGTTAAGATTAAGGGGTAAGGGAGGAAACCACTGTGACGACTGAAAATAAAGACAATATTCAAGAATTTTTTAGGCGTAATTATAAAACTTTTTCTGATAAATGTTTAATGTTTTCGAAAGTACATTTCTTGTAAAAATTTCGTATGAAAATATTAATTATTACTCCCAAAGTTTTTCATATCATCGATGGGTACTCCTCGATCCACCTCAACTCAAAGTAACATTTAGCCTATAAGGATGTTTGATCTTTGCTTTATTAAGTTGGGTCCAATTCGCAACAAATGAATAAAAGATAGCAAAAATAGACTTAAAATCCATCCTCTGGCTCTACGAAGCTACCAAGGGGTGATAAATAATTATCAACCCTCTCAAGGTTCCCGATATCATCGATGAGTACTCGTTGACCCATCTCGACTCAAAGTAACATTTTGTCCCTAAGGATGTTTGAACTCTGGTTTGTTAAGTTGGGTCTGATTTGCAACAAACGAATAAAAGATAGCAAAAATAAGCTTAAAACCCACCTTCTAAGCTACCAAAGAGTGACAAACAATTATCAAACCTGTCAAGGTTCCCCATATCATCGATGAGTACTCGTTGACCCATCTTGACTCAAAGTAACATTTTGCCCCTAAGGATGTTTGATCTCTGGTTTGTTAAGTTGGGTCCGATTCGCGACAAACGGTAAAAAAAGACAGCAAAAATACGGGCGACAGTCGAGTGGGCCGTCGCGCGCGGCGAAATTACGAGTGTACAGAGCTTCGCTCGGAATCGATTGGACGCGCCACGTCAATCTCGTAATCGAGGGCTCGTTTCGTTATCGGTTTAACCGAATAACGCTCTCGAGCCGATCGAAAATTCGGAGAAATTGCGACGTTCGTCGGTCAGCGTCCTGAAATTTCACGCTGGTCGATCGTCGGACGGCCGCCGCATTTTTACGCGCGGTCCCCATTTGGCGCCGCGCGAAATTCATCTCGGCAAGTGCAGCCAGGTCCCACCTCCCTCCCTCCCCCCGAGGGGGTATGTCGCGATGCTCTCGGGTTTCGAAGCTACCGCGACCACAGCCTTCGCGCATCCAGCGGATTAAATCATAAAATTGTCCCGCAACGGGCGCGGAATTCCACTGATTTACGAGGGTGGCTCGCGCTGCTCTCGGGCCGCCCGTGTACATCCACTATAACGTTGCGTTTCCAGCCGCGGGCTGGCCGCCCGATTCGTCGGTTCCCGCGACGACGACGCTCGCCTCGATAGCCAGCCTTTCATTTTACAAACGTAATTCCCTTAAAAATATATACATATTTCTGCGAGCAACGTTCAAAAAACGCGTTAATTTCGTCTACAAAGAAGTTTCGCGGACGGCGAGGTTGCGCTTCCTGTTGATAGCGTTGGATGAAATTTGGTTGTTGAACGCAACGGGGAAACCATTCGTTACGCTGTGGCTGACATAATTCGGTGGACGAGTAATGGGAACAGTTATCAATAGGAATATGCAAAATACATGCAACATATATGTATGCTAAATAAATGTAAGGAATTGGTAGACTGTAATGTTAGGTATTTAGAAAATATCGAGTATATTATTGTTTTATTTATCGTAATTTAAATTACAAGTATCTTTTCTTTGAAAGGGCTCAGCATACATTTTTACGCCTAGCAACTCATATGGTAGTAATCGACTATGACTATTTCTCTTTGTAACTACTTGTGAATAATCTATCGATTCCTGCTGAGCTGTATACTTATGTCAGTATATACAAAGGGTCTTATACAACTGCGTAGTAGGAAATTTATAGGACTTTCGAGCCAACGTACACGAAACTCGGGGACGCTCGCAGTATAGAAGTCAAAGTCGAGCTGTGCAGTCGAATATTCTATAGTCTTTCGTTTTCTAAATAATTATGGGTCGTAAAAGGGGTTCGAGAGACTCGTGAAAGTCTGGAATTTTTCCAAAATTTAGATGAAGGAAAAGGTAGTAAATTCGAATACGAAATTACTTTTAGTGCCTCTGCAGAAAAATTGAAGACACAAAAAGAAATTATTGTGCCATAACACAACAGAATAGATTATAGAACGTATGTCATCGTATTTGCTGCAATTTTAAAGCTGATAAGTGCAAAGAGTGAAATGTTAAATTTGAAATTTATGAACTCAAAAATAATGTTGAAGAGATTCAATTATTGTCGAATTGCAAATAATAATAAAAGTTCAAGAGCATTATTAAAAGCTGTGGCCTAAATGCTTACAAATATGTGGAGGCAGGAGACACTGTCCGCATAAAGATCTCTTGATCGCCACTCGGGAGGGGAAAACGCATCGTTGGCAACACCAAAGTGATGTTTTGGAGCCACCAGCTGTGTCGGAATACTCACTATGTGAGCTTGGAATACATGATTCCGCGTAAGTAGAAAAATAAATTGTTTATATTAATCTATACTGCAAATTGAAACGTCAAAATTTCGAAATCTGTGAACAAAATATTTCGAGAACTGTTGTCCCAATTAAACATACAAATCTAGTATTTTTTATTATACGATGAAAAAACTAAATAATATTCTATAATTTATATTCTGAAGGAATCAATAGTGGATACTTGCAGTCCAAATAAAATTACTTTTACTAAGATTTAAAAAAAATGTGTCCACTTTCTTTTATTTGCAATAGCTTCTAACAATTTTCCTTCTAATATAAATAATTTATAAAATCTTGATATTTCTAGGGGTTGCATTCCTGCGTAGCGTTTCGCTCTACGCCAACCCCACGAAGACTCTAACGATGCTAACGAATAACGAATACAGAGACGCTTGAATAAGAAAAATGTTTCTCAGGAGAAAGCAGTGAAAGAGCAACGCGATGTTCCGTTATGAAATAATGTCCGAACTAATTATTCTTATCTCCTAGACTCGGGGGAAAATTGACAATATAGATTAATAACGGTCGCATAGATCCACAAACGTACAAAAATTGTAACAAATTCGTTTAAAAAAAAACGAATTTCTTCGATTTTGAACAAGGATTTTAATAAAATAATAATTTTTCGTTTCACGTTTTACCATCGTCGATAATACAACTTCAAATTATTGGTAACCAGTATCAGTAACAATAATCTATTTTCTTTACCCTACTGAAAATGCTTTTTATTAATTTCTTTTCGGGTAAGAAAGGTCGAGAAACATGGGTTTAATACAATGTCTGCAAAGTATAATCGTCCTATTTTTTATACAACGCCTTGCGTTGAATTAATGGAGCATCGGGCATTCCTTCCGCGAGGGAAACGATCCCCTCAATCTTTCGATTTTCAATCCACGTCCCTCTGGAAAGTCGAGAGCAGCCAGCGGGGAAAATTATCTGCTGGCGGCCGTGATTACCGGTTAAATTTTCTTCCTGAATAGCGAGCGGGGAAAAGAGATTGTGCGCGGTTCGCTACGGGGAAAATCACGTTACAAATTGACACCTATCGTGGCTTATAAAACAAAATACCGTACGACGTGGTTTGTGAAACGTGTTTGCGTCACAGCACCTAAGATACTACCCTTTTTTACTTTTCGATATCTCTACAGTGATATTCATCTTTCACCTTTCTGATAATTTTATTATTTTTGTATTCAATTTTATATTTATGAATCTAGCAATTGCGGATATCCTTACTGAGTATCGGGGTCAATTTAATCCCCACAAATAGACTCAAATAGTATTTGCTACCGTATTTGAGCTCAAAATCAAATTACCGATTTTCTGAAGTGATTTGCCTTTATTTATATGGCAAATAACTAATTGCCGAATGTCAAAGTGTTTGTTGCTATGCCTCCATTATATCTGTTAATACGTTTGGTATAAATGAAATTTCGAACGTTATTGAACCTTGTAGGTGCATTGTATACACAAACAGTACTAATAAGCGATTTGGTCAATTTCCTAGAACTAATATATGGAACGCAATGTTGTGTGTTTCAATATATGTGAATTAGATAAATAAATAGCATGTTTCTGCCAGCCCGAGTAAGTGTTTGAACTCATTAAAAGGAATTAATTTGTATACATATGAAGCAATAATGTATAGAATACTATGCTATCAGAATGTTTATTCGAGTCATTCTGTCTTCTGGAATTTGAACCCTTTTTTATTACATAAAAAATCTTTTATCTGAATTTTAATTGCTTTAAATGATTACTTTTTTATTGATTAGTAAATGTTGAACAATCATTAAGTATTTCCATTTGTAATTCTTGGAGTAGGATTCTCGAATTTTCGAGATCTTAAATTTATTTCCAGATTTTCTGTTAGCATATTGTTTATTTATGATGTTTTAATACAATTGGTGAGTAACGCATAATATGGTCCCATTATCAGTGGAAATACCACTTGTGATCATCAAAATTATTAATGATCTGGTAAAGGAGCTTATCGATAGTCGTATTTAATTCCAACGTGAACGTTTTCGACCAATTTAATGGCCATCTTC